TCCATAATATTCTAATAGCTGGAGATGGACCCTGGGGAGAAAGGCAGTAGCAGTAACAGTTACTGTTTTATTCTTCTTGGAGAAAGGCAGGTGCCCACTCTGACAAAATATGATGAATTCTTATCTTTCTGTCTTTACAAAAAACATCCTGAAAAATGATTCTCCAGAGATACAGAGATTTTCCATGTCAACTCCATTTTTATAAGCTTTCATGTAGTTCACTCCTGTTTGACTGTGAGTAGAATTTTATCATTAATTTTTAGCCTACTTCCTGATAAGCAAGCTATTGAGTTCAAATTTTGTACACACATTGTTGGTCAAAGACTTAAAGTACTTTTTTCTAAATTTGATTTAGATTATTTTATTTTAATGTTTATTCAATTTTTCGCTCATATCTTCATTTAATGAGCAAAGTAAGCATATGAGAATTTTACTCTTTGTGCTGTCAAATATAGCAGTAAAAAATCTGTTCAATGAAACACTTTTATGAAAATAATAACTTAATTTCTGAATTCTTGACAAATTTTTTGAAACTTGCTCCATGTTTAGACTGTTTGACATTTGTGATTTTAATATTTCAGTTTTCAAAAATGTATCGGATATAAAGTTGTAGAGTACCTCACTTTGGAATTCTAAGTTAATGTTGGAAGTGAGGAATCTAAGAACTGATAAGCGAATAATCTCTTGCGTTCGGTGACAAGAAACAACAAGATAGAAGGGTAACTAACCCTTTATTATTACAATAAGATTTAACAAACTCCGCCTGGGAGTGTACAAGCAAAGCCCGCACTTGGACTTGAACTTAAAAGACTAAGAATTAAACTAAAACTAAGATTAACTAAACAAGTATAGCCAAAGCTATCAAGGTTCAATTTGAGTTGGCCCCTTAACTTATTTTGCTACGAAGCTTAGCAAGGGCCTGAGTACGGCCGAGCATAATAACAGCTTTGAGAGAGAGAATGGCCAAAAAGGCAGACGCGCATAAATCAGAAACTCTGATTCTCTCTGACTCTGTAAGCAACTTCGTGGTTTAAATACCGCTCCTCCTCGTTAAATATTCAGCAGGATTCCAAAAGTACGTTCTGGCCGGAAGTAGTAAGTTGAAGTTAACAATTTGACAGGAAAGGAACTTTAACTTAAAATTTAACTGTTAATAAAATTAACATAATTCTTACAAAGTTTTGGAATTTTTACCATTTTTATAACAATAATGTCACCCTCTTTTAAAACAAGAATGATTTTTAAAAATATATTGAGTTTTTTTTTTTTTTAATGTGTTTTAGACTGAAGCAGAGAGCAGGCAAAAAAGCATTTCCTATGAAAAATTGTTTGCCATCTTGGCACATTTTATGACAAAGTTTGTTTCCTTGGTGCTCTTAATGGCAAATTAGCCATATTAATTTTTATAAGCTTCTTTTTATTGATGATATGTAATTAAGAATAAAAAAAGAATATAAAAAAACAGTTGGAAAAAACTTTTATTTAAAATAGGTATGATAATTAATGCACAAAAGGGAGGAAAATAATTTATCATATAGTTTAATGATTTGTCATATAATGAAAGCTTGCACTGCCGATGATAAATTAAAAAATCTGATGTGTACACCACATGACTTCCTTGTATGGAATATTAAATTATACGCTTTTTTTTTTTTTTTTTTTTTTTTTTTTTTTTTTTTCATTTCATTTAAACTTATTGGATTGAATTAAATCTACTTTGCCGACAGCGCATAAACCACAATAGAATAAATGCATTCTTTAAAATTCACTCCAGTATTTGTTTACCATAGCGACACTCTGGCGCTAGATTCACTTAACAGTATTAATAATTATATAACAGTTAACTTATATATTTCGTTCATATTATAACTCATAATGCACAAAATTTATATCATTTAAAGAATAGAATTATCTAATCGTTGCCACATGTTCTATTCAAATACCATAATAAAGCTAGAATGATGTATAAAAGAAATTAAGCAAACAAAACAAAAAAGAAAGAGTTTTTCACAGACGATTGAGTATTTCTCATTTAATTAATTCAGTTCTCACTTCGCGAGAAGGAAAAAATACATAAAAACTCAAAATATCTATACAGTCAAAAGTCGTTAATTCGGACACCCATAATCCGGAATGATCTATAATCCGGACCTCAAAGCTACAAACTTTCTGTTAATTCTGTCTACAAACGTCGCGTTCACGCATGCGCACAGGCGTTTACGAGAGCGCATAAGACCCTTACAGCTGCGAATATGTTTGTGCGCATGCGCGTTTAATGTGTGATGGAGTTATACGCTAAGCTAAAGTTATCTAATTCATTTAATGTTGCAGATTGCGTTGTTCCTTAATCTTCGAATTAGATCCGGCTTATTATTTTTTGCAGACTGTTAGAGCAATTTCATAAAAGTAAGCTTGAACTTTCGATTATGTCAAATAGAATTTCCGATATATATTTACTACAAAGCGAAAGTATGTTTTAAAATCTGAAATATGTTTATCAATTTCACGCTGCTCTGCGGCAGAGGGGGGGGCAGAAACGTCATTATTAGATTATGATAGATTAGAAAGATTATGTCAAATAGAATTTCCGATATATATTTACTAATATGTAATTTGTATCTACAAAGCGAAAGTATGTTTTGAAATCCGAAATCTGTTTATCAATTTCACGCTGCGGATTGGAAGTTGATCTGTCAGCACTATCCTTATCTTCAGAGCAGATGTTTTTATTTTATTTGGTTTATAATTCCGTACTAAGTGTAGTATTTCATCTCGATATACTCTGTCTTTGATATGATTTAAATCAAGTTCCTCGTCATTATAATTCGCTTCCGATAGTGAAGAAAGTGACCCAGAGGTTATTGAAAACGAAAACATTTCGATTGACAAATTAGTCGGTATTCTCAACACTGCAATTATAGGACTTGAACAGCGGAACTTTGTAACTAAACAAAAAATTATGTCTGTTTAATAGAATTAAAGAGAAAGTGTTATCACATGAAACGAAGCAACTTACATTGAAGGAAATGTTTAATAAAGTAAACAAATAAATATTAAGCTTTTTCTTTTTGTAAATTTTGATACCCTTTAGATCATAATTGTTCTTTATTTCATAAATTACGGTTTCATATTTTTAATTTTGTAATTTCTGCATGCCATCTTACCAGATTTAAACTAATGATCTATAATCCGGAAAAATCGATAATCCAGAATCGCCGAAGTCCCGACGAGTCCGGATTAACGACTTTTGACTGTATTAAAAATTACAAAGTAAATCTTAAACACTTATTTTCTCGAAAAAATTCCAGAAAGAATTAAGCATGATTTAATTGGCAATAATAAATGAATGCGTTGTCATTATTGTTGCAAAGCTAAGTTTCTCTAGATGGGCAACAAATTTACTAGTCTCCTGTTTCAAATGTAAACATCAATGGCCGCCATAAAAAAAAGGCTTAGCGGCACTTGGACAACTTTAAAATTGTTGATAATTCTAAAAATATTGCATACAGATTTACTTAACATTTACTTACCGGTTAAGGCATAAAATCCTTAACCGGAAGATAAAAACAACATAATACAATCATTTTTAAAGCAAAAAATGTACAATTTACAAACATATAAGAGTAAAGAAACTGAAATCACTGAGCCGGGTAACAAAGTGGATATATATATTTATATACGTTTGGTGCGGCCGATTGCAACCAAAATACGAGGTGCACATCTACATGCTATATCAGTCCTATATACAAAATTTCAATGTTCTGAGGCTACTCGTTTTTGAGTTATGCAAGATACGTACGTACATACGTTCGTACAGACGCCACGAAAAATTCTCTTCAGAATTAATTTTAAAGCGGTTTTATAATTTTTTTGAAGGAAAAGAGTCTTTTATTCTGTCCTTACGCACAGATATCACGCCAAAACATCGTTAAATTGCATTCGATAGCAGTCAAAATGGATATTTTCGTTGAAATATGCTGCCTGAAACTTTTCACGATTACCATATTTCCTTTTTACTTCGTACAAGGAAGTAAAAAGGTAATGTCTTAAACATTTCATAGTGCAGTAAAATTAATAGATTTCATTGATAAGTTGCTCCATGCTTTTATTATTTGCAATATAAAATTGTAGATGAATTCTGTAAATAGAATTATTTAATGTATTATTCCCATCAAGCTATATGATAAATAATTCTTCTCCTTTTAGTGCATTAATTATCAAATCCATTTTAAATAAAAGCTTACTATATAAAAATCTTTTTTTTAATTATGTTATTGAGTTTTCATTGATGATTGATCAGTTTACTGATCCAGACATTCTGTGGCATATGCTATTGTACTATTGTTTGTTTAGCATGTTAACCTACTAGACTAGGCTAGAACTCTCTTTTTTTTTTTTTTTTTCCCCTGTTTTACAAAATTTATTTGTGATATTCTGCTGTCTGAAGTTCCATTTATCTGCTTTTTTTTCTATGGGATAATGGTACTGTCAAGGAATATTAGGTTTGTATGAATTAATTTTAGAATACATTTGCAAAAAATACAAATCTGAGAAATTTCAGAACATAATTATTCTTGCAGCAGGGTAGGGAGGACTGTGCAAGTATGTTGAACGTTTCTAAATCATATGCTAAAATGCTATGGAATAAAACATGTTAATAAATGTATTTCTTATGCCATTAAAATGCAAATAATCATATTTCAGTGTAATTAATCATAGTCATGATACTTGTTTTTAAATAGCAGAATTTTTTCCCACCTCTATATTAAAGAACAAAACGTATTAAAAAGTAGACAATATAAAATTAATAATATGCAGGGTTTCTGAAATTCCCCCCCCCCCAATTTAGTATTCTTCAGAATTCCAAGCAATTTTTTATGCAATCCTAAAATATATATAGTACTATTAAGTATTTAGTACATGTAGTTGAGTTCTGATCAAATATAAAAACGTGAATATTTCATATTTATCTTTATTTAATATTTAGTGATTTCTACTAGGTGGCTCTGAAACATTCAAAGACAAGCAAGATTTTTTTTATCACGAAGTACGAAAATATCACCAGAAGCATTTCCATGATAAGTTACCATTAAAAATTTCAAGAGAATCTATTCTAGAATCTGTGAGTTCTGATTCATTCAATTTATACACTTATTTGAAGAATTTTATATTGTTAAATATTTATAAATTTTAATTTCTTTTTGCAGTCCATAAAAGAAACCAAGAGTTTTAGCGTAAGTGACTGGTGCAAGAACTTTGAATTTACATTTGTTGGTGAAGAAGGTAAGTTTTGTATCATCCAATTTAACACAAATGTATGGAATGTAAATAATATGTAAATACAATACAGTCAAAAGTCGTTAATTCGGACACCCATAATCCGGAATGATCTATAATCCGGACCTCAAAGCTGCAAATTTTCTGCGCAAGCAACACGTTCATGCATGCGCACAGGCGTTTACGAGTGTGTGTAAGACCTTTAAGGCTGCGAATATGTTTGTTCGTATGCACGTTTAATGGGTAATGGACGGTATAATCTAAGCTAAAATTATCTAATTCAGTTAATGTTGCAGATTGCGTTGTTCCTTAATCTTCGAATTAGATCCGACTTATTATTTTTTGCAGATTGTTAGAGCAATTCATAAAAGTAAGCTTGAACTTTCGATTATGTCAAATAGAATTTCCGATATATATTTACTAATATGTAATTTGTATCTACAAAGCGAAAGTATGTTTTGAAATCCGAAATCTGTTTATGAATTTCATGCCGCGGATTGGAAGTTGATCTGTCAGCACTATCCTTATCTTCAGGGCAGATGTTTTTATTTTATTTGGCTTATAATTCCTTGCTAAATGTAGTATTTCATCTCGATGTACTCCGTCTTTGATATGATTTAAATTAAATTTCTCGTCATAATAATTCGCTTCCGATAGTGAAGAAAGTGACACAGAGGTTATTGAAAACGAAAAGATTTCGATTGACAAATTAGTCGGTATTCTCGACACAGCAATTATAGGACTTAAACACCTTGCTGTGCACTTTTTGATGCAGTTGAAATCTACTGGTTTGGAGTTCAACAATCTCCCTCCTATTTGTAGATCATAAAACTGATCCTTACCCGATATAAGACAAGGGTGATTAAAAATAAATAATTATCTATAGTTTTGAATATATCACGTCACAGTTGTAATGTGTTGAGGTGAAATATTTCATGCTTCACAGATCACAAAATCTTTGATTGGAGACCATTTCAACATCTTTGCGAGAAATGGTAACATCGGGTATTTCTTTTATATTCTACTAAGAGAGTAATTTTCTTTGATTGTAATAGTTTTAATAGTTCCCCCCCCCTTCATGGAAGAACGGATATATTGTTAACTTTAAAAAAAAATAGTTAAAGTGATGATGGCGAAAATATTGTCAGCTTGTTTCATTTCGAATAATGCATAAAGTCCAAAATTGTAGTGATTCTTAATTTTGCTATGAATTTAATTTTATAGATGTATGTTATGTTTAATTAATCAGTTAATCTGGTAATGTTTATTTAAGAAACTTTAATACTTTGTATTCAGGTTTAGATTGGGGTGGTCTTAGAAAAGAATGGTTTGAGCTTGTTTGTTCATCCTTATTTGACCATGAAAATCTGCTCTTCCACACTTTCAAAAGTGATAAGCAAGGACTTGTAAGTAATTTATATCATTAATATAGTTTCAAATTAGTTGTCTTAACTTCCTATCTTGATAATTTGGATTTTTAAGCCCTTTGTGAAATCATGCTCATCATTGGAAGGCTGGAAAAGCAACTTTGGGTGTAAAGACATGTTTAATTTGGTGTGATGTGATTTTTTTTGTGTTCTATGAACTCTGTGTTAATGCATTTTTGTGGTGTACGAGGTAGGATTCTAAAGTTCCGGGACTAAGTCTTTAACGTAAAAAATATTATGAATTAAATTTCAGAAACGCATCCTCCTTCGAAATAAGACCCTTGCACAACAACACACTTTTGCCAGTGCCTGTAAAGTTCGTCGAAGCATGTCTGGAATCCATTTTTGGCCATGTACTTTAATTCAGCCTGCGATACACATTTAACTTCATCTGAAGATTGAAATCCACTACCTAGCAAACATCTGCCAGTTCAGGAAATAGGAAGAAATTGCAGGGTATGGGATCAGGTGAGTAAGGAGGATGAGGCAAAACAGTTGTTTTGATTTTCGCAAGAAAGTCTTTGACAAGTAGGGATTGGTGAGCAGGAGCTTGTCATGCAATAACACCCATGACTGCTCAGCCCACATTTTTTGGTATCTTCTTCCAGATCGACTAACGTAAATGACGCAGGATTTCGACATAGAGTTCTTTGTTCACAATGCATTCTTCAGGAAAAAATTCAAGATGCAGAATGCCCTGAATATCGAAGAATACCTCTAGCATGATTTTTCCTTTAGAGGGATCTTGGCAAAATTTCTGCTTCCATTGAAAATGATTGTAACAATTTCCATGTTGCCAATGCTTTCTTGGTTTGTAGGTCATTCAAAAAACACCATTTCCATTCGAATTCTCTTTTGGTCTATGATTAACATGCGGGGGAACGATGTGTTGACGCTCCCTATGCATGTTAAAGTCCTTAGTCAGTATCCACTGGCATGTGGCCTCTGATATCCCATCTGATTCTGTTATTTGGCATATTGTTTGCTGCCTGTTTGCTCGTACCGCCACAGACACCTTTTTAATGTTTTTATCAGTGCACGAAGTCACTGTGCAGCCACAGCATTCGTCATCTATGGCAATTTGCCTGCCTTCCCTGAAACGATGACGCGACTCAAAAGCTTGCATTCTCGATAATGTTTCACTTCTCTACACATTCTTCAACATTTCAAAAGTCTCCGTAGCACTCTTTCCCAAGCGAACACAAAATTTGATATGGATTGTTTGCTGAACTGACGTCATTTCTTTCTATCGCCGGTTACTAATAGCACTTGTCTACAAAAAACACTGTTGCGGCGAGCTTTTGATCACGTGATTTGGGACAAACCACTTTTAGAAAAGGGGAAGAGCATAGTAACACAAAAACGTTATCGTACTACTGCAAAAACATTTTGTGTTGTTATACTGTGACGTGATACTGCAAAAACATTTTGTGTTAGACTCAGTCCGGGAACTTTTGAATCCTGCAACGTGTATGGGAATAAAATTATCTAAAGGTAACATCTGGTATTGAAAATATACAGGTAGATATTATTTACTTCATTAAATAAAATGAATATATTTTCAAAGCCAGAATGGGCACAAATTGAGAGGACATATGTAGAATTTAATAAGTTATGTAGTTATGTGCTATGTAAATAATTCTTAATTCAATTAGCTAAGCAGAGTGTTAGTGCAGTCCAATTTTATTGCTATCAATTTGAGTTGTACATAAGAGAAATCATTATACAGGGTTCAGGAATTCATTTATTTTATATATCCTTATCTTATTAGCTCAAATGGGCAATTTGTCCAGAAGGGCTATTAATTTCGTTTTGGCAATTTGCGTCAGTTCACTGTATTGAAGAATCTGTATGAATGTATGTATGTTTCTTGCACCATGAAAAAAACAACGGTACCTAGAGACATCAAATTTTGAATAACATAGTCCTTCATTAAAGTATGCACATCTGGAAGCCCAAATCTGGAATTTGTTTTATTATCTATTTTATATTTTATCAAACATTAAAGAATTTTTTATTAACAAACTCAACGATTTCAAAGCAAGCAATGGCAACACTGCACAAAAAAAAAAAAAAAAAAAAAAAAAAAAAATTATCTCCAGTACACAAGACTGTGTATCGGAAATTCTAAAAATATGTTATTTTAAATATTTTATGATATTGCTATTGAATTGAATTTTATGGTTTAAGTGCAAAGAACATGATATTTAATAAGTAAAGGTAACACAAAAAAAACGTTAAAAAATGCCACTTTTTGCGTAACATAAAATCTGAAAGCTTTCAGTTTCCCCCTTCCCGTAAAGAATTGGTTCAGAATAACATGCCATACAAGCCAGATGCTTCAAATATGCTATCTGATGCTGTCGCATTGTAGGTTAATATAATTGCTTGCTCAGTTTTGTCATATATAATAATAAAAGATTATTATGGAAACTTAATATATTGATATATGAAATCATATCAACAAAATGTCGCCCTTTTAACAAAGCATTATTTCCATATAATCTATACTAGCAGTCGTCAACCCTTAGAACTTCACGAACCAATACATATATAATTTTATATTTGGCGGACCACTAATATGAATTAAAAAATAAAAAAGTAAATACATTTATACAATAATAATTAGCAAACTACACATATTTCGTTAACATTGAAAAATTACATGAAAAGTACAAAAATCTTACCTTATTGTACAGAAAGCTTCACATTTCCATATCACTGAAAAGGAACTTCACAAAAAGCAAGAACAAATTGACAAAAGCAAAGCAGTATCAATAAACTGATAGTGTTATGCGGCAAATTTTTTATTATTGTAAACATAATAATCATCCCTTACTCAGCAATGGCGCGGTCCATTAACAGTTAGACAAAACAAAAACAGAAACTTCCAGTGATGCAATTATAAACAAGAATGCAGATGGTTCTCATTAAAATCCATCAATTGACACGAGCATATGTTTGTAATTCAAAAGGGAAGAGAATTCCAGTTCGCGCTAATATAACAGCAGCATATCCATGGATGCCAACTCTCACTTTTAAATGTCGCTAGATACACCTGTAAAAGTAGCTAAAATTTTTTTAAAAAGTATAATCCATATTCCATAATAGCTTTTGTTACTCTTCATTTTTTAAACTGAATCTACATAAAGATACAAGTGTTTTTTCTAGGACTAGCGGCGATGTTTTCCCAAACTGTGATTTCTCGTGTGTAACTACAGTGAGCGGCTTTCAGCAGTTTAAGTGATAAAGATATAAATAATGTTCCAATTTTTCTGCAGACCAGCAAAAAGTTATTACGGACCACCAGTTGGCGACCACTGATCTGTACTATTTAAATCTATGCATGTTTGTGGTATTATCTCCTCCCGATCAGAGGGAAGTTGAGTTTCGAGAGAGGTACCTCCGAATTTCAAAAGTTCATGGGTAACCATTTCGATCGTGCTTATCTTTGTACGACAACTTTGATTAGCCAAAATATTAGTTAAAAACTCTTAAAATGTTAATTTTTGCCCTCATTTTCCAAGTGGCAACAGTCTCGCTCAGAAAAGTGTTGCCATTGCTCACTTTCAGATCATAGAGTTTGTTAATAAAAAAATTTGTAAGTTTTAAAAAATAAGAAATAAAAATAGCATTGCCAAACATTGAATATATTATTATTTGATGAAAAAGAAAAGTTTAAAGTTGTAAAAACATTTAGCAGAATTAGCAATAAAAGCTCCCTAAGATTATATATTGTGCAGACATTGAAGACAAAAGTTTTAAACTTAACCAATTTATTAACAATATATATAAAAATAAAAACACAATGAATAAATTTAATCAATATCAGAAACTTAAAGAGTGTAACATAATCATTATCAAAAATTACACTTAGTTGATCATTCATTAACCCCAAGGGTTTTTCCTTTAAAGAATATTACACTATTAATGATACAGTAAATATTTTACCTGATCTTTAAATACTGGCATTCAATATGCGAAAAACATATCACAAAACAGAAACTACGCGGTTATTATGAAATTCACTTCACTATCAATAAGTCCATGCTTTGTGGTCAGGAAGGCACCTGAAAAATTAAACTAAATCCTTGAGTGCACTTAAACTGCCGAAAGCCGCTCACTGTAGTTACACACGAGAAATCACAGTTTGGGAAAACATCGCCGCTAGTCCTAGAAAAAACACTTGTATATGTCGCCTTCATGAAACAGGATGTCGCCCGCTGCAGTTGCTCACCAGAAATCACAGGTTGGAATCTATTGCCGCCAAACCGTAGAAACAGGATGCCGCCCACGGCAGTTGCTCACATTGTAGCCGCTTTTCAGAATCCAGAAAAAGTCATCTTTGGACTGGAATCACGGCATTAATTGCTGGACAGCACGCATCGCAATATCGTCTTCCAATGGGGGCTGGAATGGCACACCACGGAGCAATGAAACAGGAACCAGAAGGGATAAGCCAGAGCGACGCGAGATACTTATACCTGAAGTAGACATGACGTCATCTCATGGCAACCAATGAGCTATCGGCACGACTCAGCTTTCCAGATGACGTAACATCAACTTTTGTTTTTGCATCTTAATTAGGCTGGAACAGTCCGTTTTTAATACACACAGTGGCAGTGAAAAACGAAGTAGAAGTAATTGCTCTATCACTTTAAAATAAGAACTAAACCTTATGTTAAAGTTAGAATTATTTCAAGGAGGGGAGATGATGCAGAAAGAGGGTTATAATAGGTCATATTTTCCAACATTATTATATAAGGTTATGTTCTGACATTGAAGAAAGCATACTGTTTAATGTCACTTCTTTGTATGTTGAAAATTTGTTGGTAATGTCAGCATTTTAAATAAAAAACTGCTGTTGGCACCTTTCTTGTTTCAGATTAAGGTAATTGGCATGGTATGTTATTGCTACATTAATTCTTTTAATGATATTGAGGAAAAGTTGTTATATTACATTAATTCTTTTAATGCTATTGAGGAAAAGTTGTTATATTACATTAATTCTTTTAATGATGTTGAGAAAAAGTTGTTATATTACATTAAATTTAAATCATGATGTCATATTTTTGTGTATTAACCACGAATGTCAAAATTTTGTTTACTGGTTTGGCAACAAAAAAATTGTTTATGAATTGGTTGTTGCTTGGAAAGAATAAACTGATTTCATTCATACTGAAATATGCATTTAATTTTCAGGTGTACATAGAACTTGCAAATTTTGCTTTGGCCGCAGCCCACTCATCTGGTGGGCTTTCCAGCTAGTCTACTATGGAGTTTGTTATTAAATTGCAAAATGTTTTATGCGCATCCCTTAAAAATCTGATCTATTAGAGGCTATAGCATAATTGAAAAGTCAAAACTAATGAATTGCAGACCCTTTAAGTTCTTTTGTCTTTTAACTTAAATTTTTTTTTTACAAATAAATGCTACTTTGTGTATTCCTTGTAAACTTAAGTGAAATTTAGAAATATAATTTTGATTCGTTGAAGTGCAGTAAAATGATCAGAGCTACCTTTAAATTTGCGAAACATAATAAATTATGTTGAACAGAAAATGTGTGATATGTGGGGATTCTAGGTGTAAGAGTGAGTGTTTTAAGAATGGGGAAGATCTGAATCTATAAAATGGACAGCAGCTAGTTTAGTGCAAAATCAGCGAGAGCTGCTAATATATGTGCTTTCATTTCATCTTTTTATGTTTCTTCTGTCATTTGATATCTGCAGAAATATTCTTCCACTAAAATGGACCACCACATATAATCACATGCATAAATATTTATTTTTCCAGTTGAACATAACAAAACAATTACATATATAAATGTAAAAAGTACCATTTACATATGTTTATAGCAATATATGTAAATTATGTAAAGGTCTGTGGTAAAAAAAAAAAAAAAAAAGACATTCTTGCTGATCTCTTAAGCTTTAAATGAAAGAAATGGGAATTCAATTCTGTTATGGAAAATGTATTTTGTGTAAAGTGGTTCTGATAGATTTTATGTTTGTCCATTTTTTAAAGTGAAAAATTAGCTGGTAAATTTATAAAACATATTTTTGTCATAACTGTAAAACCAAAAGTGAAAATTGATGGGGAAAAGAAGTCAATTAAAAACATAAAGTTTGTTATATCAGATTTTCGTTCATTTGTATGTTTGTTACAACCATATGAAATAACTTTATAAGGTATTTTCTCTCTTCTTTCTGCATGCCTTCAAGTCCCGGTGAGAGCATTGCTCATTTTTCACATCTTCTGCTTTAAAATGACGTACTGATTTTAAGTGCACCAAGATTTAGTGACTAAGCCTCCTAATCCCCGGTGTCCCTTTTAAAGGGGAATATATAAGGTATTTTCTCCCTCTTTTCTGCATGCCATCATGGTGTAACGGTAGCACACTTACTGCCTATTTGAGAGGTCCAGGTACGAGTGGGGAGAGCATTGCTCATTTTTCACATCTTCTGCTTCAAAATAACATAATGTATCTACAACATTATGTAGGGTGGTTCACTAATTCGTGTGCAAACTTCTGGGAGCAGTAGATTGGGATCAAAGATGAATAGGATCAGATGGTAATGCAGAATCAGAAATACAGTCATAATGGATAGAGGAAGTTGTTGGTTAACAGTAAAAAGTCTCCACCAGAAGTACATTCCTGAGATATTTCCTGTTGATACTCATCTATTTCACAAAGGTAATATGATGGAAAGTTTCTCAAGTGTTGAGTTAGCAGATATGCACTTAGCCTGTGGAGCTGCTGATTTTAATGTGCAAGCCACCTCATCGAGTAGCATTCCTGACAGAGAAATGCTACTCGATGAGGTGCGTTCCAAACTACCAGATATTTACATGGCTATACCAAAGATTATGTGAAATAGATTCCTATGAGAAATGTGCTATGAACTGGAAATAATAGCTTGGACCCATGAAAATCAAAGAAATGATGCTTTGCCATGCAGAAGACACTGCCATTGCACAAGCAATCACTATTCATTTTGATCTTCAAACCATTATCTGGAGGGTCCTGAACTCACACCTATTGCACCCAAACTGTGAATAGCATGTACAGCTACAGCAGCTTCATAAATACCAATAGAAGGTTGCTTATACTTATATATAGAGGAGGTGTAGATCTCTCTTTTCAGCTTCCATCTTATTTACAGACGAGGCGTACTTCACCAAGTAAAGATATTACATTGACTAAAGTTGCAAATATGGGTGGTGGAGAACAGTCATTCTATAGATGCATGTGCAGTACACTGCCAGTTTGCTGTCAATGTTTGGTGCAGCTGTAGGGGATCCCTTTGTAATCCAATGGATCCAGCAATCATTGTACCATGATATATGTGGCTCCAATAAGATGAAGCTCTAGAGCATTTTTAAACCATGGCATTTGAGAGCCCTTAAACTCGCATTTGGACAGCAGTAAATCAGGCATGACTAGACCTATCCTTAGTGGTTTTTTTTTTTTTTTTTTTTTTTTTTTTTTTTTTTTTAAACTCTACTGGGGCTACATGAAGGATATGGTGTACAATACTCAGCAGACAGTGAGGAGGATCTCACTGCGTGCATTTGCAAAACTGCCACAGCTGTTCAAGAGACACCCATAATATTTTCTTGCAGTGGTTATATCAAGTTTGTGTTGTAGCAGGTAGCTAAAACTTCAAACACCTTTTGTTATCTCTCTTAATAAAGCAATTATTGCATTTTGATACTTAAAATAATGTTCTTCATTTATGTGTTAATCTTTTAATTCTTATGTTCTACGCATATTTTCACATGACAATGGCTTTTCTTACCTTGCATTGCTATCTGATCTTAATTTGTCTTTGAAAGTTCTACTTCTCGTAGAAGTTTGTACATGTAGTAGTGAATTAGCCCGTGTAGTAGCTGGGCCCCAAAATTTCATTAGTTATAACTAAAAATTAGTTGTTTGCTTCAGCTAGATTTGACTGCATATCCTAAATTGTTGACTTTTTTAATAAACCTAAGGCTACATGATATGGATTGTCTACCATTATGTTTAATGTTTTTATTTATTTATTTATTTAAATTATAAAAGTGGTTTAGTTATGTTCACTTGAATATTTTCAGGTACACCCATGCCCATCTTATAAAAGGCCTGCAAATCTCAAACTTAAATATTATGAATTTGCTGGAAAAATTGTTGGGAAATGCTTATATGAATCTGCTTTAGGAAGCTCATATCGCCAACTAGTCAAAGCTAAATTTTCCAGATCATTTTTAGCACAATTAATTGGCCTAAGTGTACATTATAAGGTAATTACAAGTTTTTAAAATGATTTTCATATTTTATTGTAATTTTGAAAATTTTTAAATTATTTTCCTTACTTTTTATTTCTTACCAGGGACTTACTGTATTCTTTGGTACAAATATTGCTTTTATTATTATTATTATTATTATTATTATTTACTGTTAAATTTGGTGTTTAAAATTAATAAATTGTGTTTCTAAATATTTTTTGGCTTAAAGCAGTAGTTTCTACCACTGCATTACAGCACTATAGGCCATTTTGAATGATGATCAAGAGTACTGCAGGTGGATGTATTTATCATTTTTTGCTAAAAAATTATTAAATCTTTAATGCATTTATCTTTATAACTTTAACAGGTAATCTATATACTACTACTCCTACTAATTTTCTACAAGGATTATCAAATAGAAACAACAGTTTGAGGTTTGTTTAAAACTGTGGAAAACTTTGTGTGCTAAATAAAATAAAATGAATTTAAATCAAGTGTTTAGATACCATGGAACATTCCAGTCGTGCTTATCTCTATTATGTCTCAGGCTTGTTGATATGAAAGCACTCACCTTCAATTAAGCTGCTGTTGTGACTTAGCCTCATACAATTATAAGGCTAGCATAAATAATTCATACATTTTGAAAAGGCTATATTTTCAAAAGTGTTACATGTACACACATGAAAGATATGTGAAAAGAACCACATGCTCACTAAGTGTATACACCCTCTACAAATGTTCAATATGTGTTCCTTTGGTGACAAGACATACATCCAGATGATAATTGAGCTCATTCCATACATTTTGTAGCATAGTTCTGTCAATTATATGCACTGCAACATTCTTTGAGCTCGACTAAGGATTGTAGTGAGGGTATGTAAACAAGATCTTTAACATACCCCCACACACACACACAGGAAGAAATCACAGAATGTTAATTCAGGGGATCTGGGAGGCCAGGGAAACAAAAGTAGGTAGTTCTCACCAATAATTCAACGATGCAGAAATTCATTGTTTAGGTAGTCACAAATGGGGTTGTGCCAATGAGCAGGTGCCCCATCTTGTTGGAAGACAAAAATCCCTGAAGTCAGCACTGAATTGCGGGAGCAACCGCAACTGCCACATATCCAAGTAATATCTGGACACAGTTTGCTCAGCAAAGAAAAATGGCCCATACATCTTTTTGACACTGCACAAAAAATTATTCACTTTTAGGGAATCTCTTTCAATTGTTATAACTGCACATGGATTTCTCCATGCCCCAGAAACGTACATTATGATAATTCGCATTCCTGAATAAGTGGAGCATTGCTTCATTGCTGAATATCAACTTGGCGGCCAAACCTTCGTCCTTCAATGCTTCCTGCATGGTGATGCAAAAATCTAGTTGACGAGTGTAATCTTCTGGCCTTAATTGTTATAGGAGCTCCATGCACTATGCTTTGAAATGCAACTGTTGATGCAAAATCTTCCACAAAGTTTTTTGTGGTATTCCAAGTTCATGGCTTGCTCAGGACGTTGATTTTTTTGGACTGTGCAGGAAGCTATTTCTGACTCTCTACACTGTTTCTCTTGTTACTTCTGGTCGATGAGTGCTTTTCCCTTTACACAAGCAACCAGTGTCCTTGAATTGCCAATTGCAAAGTGTTTTGTTTACATGGCAGTTCTTTTCCATACTCTCTTCTGAAAGTGCATTGAATAGCTATAACAGATGAACATCTGTCATATTCAAGCACACAAAAACTTTTTTCTTGCTTTCCTTCCATTTCTGACAGGTACTGACCTTGTACTGCCACACCCGATCAGAAAGATAACGGATTCATGGCGCTGCCACCTGGATTACACAATACAAACTTGGTGAGATTGTGGTTCTTTTCATATATCTTTCATGTGTGAATACTTTTGAAAATATAGCCTTTCCAAATCGAATGAATCATTTATGCTCTAGCCCTGTATTATCTATTCCATTGCCCATGATTCACATGTAGCCCATGTCATGATTGATAATAATCAATTGGGTAATTTTTGGAAAATATATATTATTGCTTAGCTAAATGAAGTGAATATATGTCTTTAACACATTTACTGTCAGAGAAACTGATATTTCCATTCTCAGAAGCCAGATTGTAAAATAGTGTTGTAATGGTTAAAAATGTTCCTTGTAGTTTACTAGTAAAACTAGAAAAAATGGAAAAACATTTTATTTTCAAGTTTAGTGTAATATTTTTTTTCTGCTCTAGAGCATCAGTGATGCAACAAGCTCAACATTGTCTGCAATAATAAGGACATATTGTCTATCTTTCATGTGCCTTTGACACTGTGTCTCATTAGTATTCTAAGAAATGATTAGCATATTTCATAAAGCCACAGTTTAAAAGAAATAAAATATATAATTGGATAATGAAAAATTAAATTTATGAAAGAATATAGAAAATCTTTTCAAATAATAACAAAGTACAGATGTGTTGAATGATTCCTATTTCAAAATGTTGAAGCAAATTAAAATTGTAAAAAATACACATATACCTACACATTGAATGATCAGCTCTAAAGATGATATAATGTAGCAAATTATATATAATACAGTAAATGTAGAAATGTAGCAAATTATATATAATTTTAAAGCATGAAAAAATACGAAAATTATAAACTGATTGCAAACAAAGTGTCACCTGTGTAGGAAACTACTGCATTACTACTTCATGACTTATAGTGTATTTTACAGCAATTCAGGCAATATCCTCCTTTGTCTGGGCAGTCACAGTGCTCATATATGGTGTCTGTACATAACAGTCAATAATTATGGATGTCTGTCTTCAGTCTCAGAATTTCATGTTTCTGAGGTGTTCACTGCTCCTTCTGATTCGCTCACAGAATCCCAACTGTAGTCTTCATTGTTTTTGCTCTCATAATCTGAAAGGTCACTCTTTTCTAATAATTCTAATGCTTTGGAATCAGTCAAATTTTTAGTTACTTTCCTTTTCTTGGGCTGTGAAGGTCCTGCCGTAATTGTTCCCTCTGTCATTTTTAAAAAATGCACATTAAAATATTCAAACACAAAATGTGAAAAACCACACTTGTAAAAAAAGAAAAATAATGCTTCACTTACAATTCTACCAGGGCTGTGGAGTCTGTAGGGAAAATGACCGATTCCCGGAATTTTAAAGACTCCGACTCCCTCATATATATATATATATTTAAATGTTGTATAATCTTAAATTCACTTAGTTCAAAAATAAGTGTTTTTAATACTTGCGCAATAACTGCAAAGATAATAATAATTTATTTACTAAAGTATTGATTATATTATCTCCTAATATAAATTTAATAGAAGTATCTAAAAAGAGTGAACCCATATGTAGGAAGTTAATTCCGAAAATTATGTTTTAAAGTAACTTGAATGTAAATTGTTAAAAATGTTTTACGGGAACTTGAATTAAATCATGAATAACAAAATTTCAAACTTTGAAAAAGAAATTAAATTAAAAGAAAGTAATTATCGCTATTGATCAGAAATTAGTTCATTTTTTAAGGGGAACAAACCAACTCCCATTCAATGAACAATAATTAATAAATATGAAGGTGTTTTGTCTTTTACTCAAGTAATAATTGTTATGCCAAACTGGCAAATTAAGTTAAGCCAAATAGTTCCGGGAAGTGATTGGATTTAGAACCAAAATAGAGTACCAAAGAACTCATTCTGAATTAAGCATTTTCGCTAATACAAATTTTGAAATTTTGAAAAGCAATTTATGTAGTAAAATTGATAAAATACTTGAGTAAATGTCCCCCGATACCTTTGCTTTTGTGCATCTTAATTCAAAACTATTTGTATAAAAATTAAACATTGGTAATCTTAATTGGAATTATGAAATAGAACTCAAAGTAATTGAAATAAACATTAGAAAATTAAGAAACATAATGCTATCTTTGCAAAATCAAATCAAATAATAAAATTGAAATTAATATATATATATATATATATATATATATATATATATATATATATATAATAAGAAAAAAGGGAATTTACATGAAGATATAAAAGGCCAGAAAATGCGTAAATTAACTTACGTTCTTACTAGTGGGATGCGGGTAAAGTATTCTCTTCGGTGTCTTGCTCAGAACGGGGTGTGTCCGAAATTCCTTATCGGCAGCAGGGACTTTGAATTATTTCAGGTGGCGAAACTTGTGAGAAGTAATTTATGGGACATAGGAGGGACTAGGAATGCTTGAGGGACGTTAGTTGCGGAGTTCTTATGTGAGTGAAAACATCTGTTAAAATTTTGAATATACTAACTAGTGAATGGAAATTAATTAATTTCTGGCTAATTGTCATGTCGTAATGAGGAAGAAATTAAGAAAAGGAAAAAAGTAATTTTCACTGTCAAAGAGCTATTTGACAGACTAAAGATTATGAAATAGGGTCATTTTTTTAGTAACAGTCTAAGAAAAGTCTGAAAACAATTACCTTTATACATTATATACAACTTTGTAATTACACTATGTACAAATCCTCCAACTGATAGTCATCCAACTTACACCGCCTTCTCAGGTTTAGGAACAAATTGTCATATCCCTATCAGTTAAATGATTTAGAGTGAGTATTTAATGCCTGTTTTTTTAAGACTATGGTTTATAAATTGATTAGGTATTAGATTATTTTTGAGAATTTTAATTAGGAGCAAAATTTTGTGTTGTAGATCTATCGTATCTGTGCAATTATTTTTACTACATTGTATTTGATTTATTATTGTATTACTAATAACTTTTTTGGAGATGTTGGAAGTCAGTCCAATTTATTAATTTGTTTTTGGTCAAACAGTAAATTTTTTTTGTAGTTAATGATTTGATGATCGAGATAGTCAATGTTATTTTGTGCATTACAGTCAAAAGTCGTTAATCCGGACTCGTCGGGACTTCGGCGATTCCGGATTATTGATTTTTCCGGATTATAGATCATCAGTTTAAATCGCGTAAGATGGCATGCAGAAATTCTAAAATTAAAAATATGA